GGATCATCGATCGACTATTTTTTGCAAATGTTCCAAGATGCAGATTATCAATTGTGGCAATATTTTCCCAAAAGGATTGTCACATAATATTGGAAAATTTCCGTGGATTGCTATCAAGAGTTATATTCCAAGACGTGGATTGTCGATCGTATCAAGGTTCTTATGACAGATTGTTACGAAGCATTGGAAACTTTTTCCAAATTCGGATTTTGGAAAAATTTCCGAGATACGGATTGTCGCTTCATCGTGGAAACATTTCCTAGGATGGATTGTTACGTGGCATTGACAACTTTTCCAAAATCGGATTTTCATACATCATATAAGAGTTGTGTAGGCAACTATTCCTAAAGAAGAGTGGATTGTCATCACCCCCACGACATCAATACAACAAGTAAATAGCGAAGTAAAGCACTAAGGATCAACAGGCGATGGTCTTTGGTAATTTTCCTCGGAAGATTATCACTATGAAATTGAAGATGGCTACAAGAACCGGTCTTCGACGATGTCCCAAGGTATAGAGGAAATTGTCTACAGCGGTGAGGTACTTCCATGAAGAGGTATTGCCACAACCCTGAAGATGGCGAGGCACAGTCACCTTCGACGATGTCCCAAGGTAAAGAGGAGATTATCTATAGCGGCGAGGCACTGCCACAACCCCTGAAGATGGCGAGGCATAGTAACCTTCGATGATGTTCCCGAGGCACTATGGAGGATTGTCACAATAAAATGAAGATAGCAAGGCACTACCTTCATATGGCGTTCACGAGGCACTGTGGAGGTCATCACCAACAAAATGCAGCAACAACATCAGTTACCCTAGAGACGTGTGCTCGGCGGTGCAAGATACGCATTTCTTAACTCTTTTATTTTTTTACCAACGCTATTTTGTAGGTATCGGCGTTACAAGAATGATTTAGGATCGCATAACGTTCTGAGTCATTCTCCGTCCCTATCGCTGCTTTGACATCTATTTTCGAAACTTACGTTTCTCCAAACTCAATTAAAGTGGGGGCTTCTATAGACACCAAATGTGTCTCCCCAAAACCAAACCCAGTGATGAATATCTTTCACGTCATTTGTTTATCGAACGAAGTGAAAGTGTGGAAAGTTTAGTATGTGGATGTTTTTATTAAAATATCTCTCATTCTATTTTTGAAAATATTTCTTTTTACACTCTATCTATGAAAATAGCCAGTCCAATTTTAGTGTGGTCCATGATAAGGGTCCAATAATAGTGTAGTTAGTTTGGACTTGAAAAGAGCTTTCCAACGATACATTATAAGCCCAATTCCGATGAATAATGAGGAAGCTATGGATTAAATTAAATTTGGCCCAAAATGATTTAATGTGTGGCCCAATGATCTAGAGGAGGGCTTATTAATTATTATTCCTAAAGTTATTAGGGTGGATTTTAATCTTCTAGAATATTTTGAAGGTTCATTTAAATTCTAATGAGATTAGGATTAATAAATATATTTTAAAGAGTTTTATTTTAAAGAAAATATGTGATTTGTCACAAACATGATTTTAATCTGATCAACGCGGAATTAGCTTCTTAATCTATTAAGAAGAGGATTTCATGTACAAAGCTCTTTTGATTTCTTACTTAGCGCAAGACGACAAAGCTGTCGCCTGGCGCTAACAACTGTCGCCTGGCGCTAATCCTGTCGACTAGCGCTGATGTCTGTCGCCTGGCGACATATGCCAGTTTTATTCCGTATTGAACTTTTAGTATTTTCTACCGTTTTCGGACTATTTTTCTATAAATAGGGGTCGTGTATCCCCGCTTTCATGAATTCACAATCATAATTCACAACCATCATCTATCTCTATTCACTCTCTCTGAAGGCTATAAGCTTATTGTCTCTCTATTCTTTTTCTAAGCCTTCCCTTTTACAAAATTCCACATACATTAGATCTAGACACACCTAGCCAAGTTCGAACTTGCCTACACCCTAGACGTGAAAGGTTGATACTTTATGAGAGTTTGGTCCCAAATCTCTATTTCAATTATTTGATTTATTATTTTCCTTGAAGTTACTAACGCGTGTAATTTGTTATTAGAAAGAGATACGAGGCATCGAAGTAAGTAAGTTAATTACTTTATTGATCTTTTGATATAAAAATCATGTTTATATTATTTTTATTCCTAATATCATGTTAGGATGTCTTTATGATTCCTAGTATCATGTTTAGGGTATAAACTAAAATTTCTAATTTCATGTATGTTTCTATGATGTTTCCTATTCTTTCAAATATCATGTTAGTATCGTGTTAGGGTTAAAGCTTTGATCTTTGATGTTTAGTGGCATGCTAGGATTTGTGATTAATCATGTTAGTATCATGCCTAGGGTCTTGCTAATTTCATTATGCTTTATTGAGATGGAATATTTATTATGATGATTGATATTATTATTGTTGCTTGATATTATATTATTGTTATTGCTTGATCACGCCTTTTATGCATGTTTAAAGGGAATTGTACTTGTAATCACACTTAATAAGATAATTAATAATCTTGTTTAGGCTAATATTATTATAATTCAAGTGATCGTCAATAATAGTTTTGTTTGTGCATTAATATTCAACCAACATAGATTAAACAGATTTAGGGATAACCTATTGATTGTATGTTAGTCAGAAAGCGCACATGAATACAAGAAAAATAAAGTAGAGGCCTATTTTTGGGGCAGGTTCAATATCTTTTAGGTTGGATTTGTACCTTCATCCCCGAACATCTAGTTATGTATCTAGACCTATTAGAGTTGGCAATCTCATGGATCTTTAAGGGGTGTAACCTTCACCCTGTGAACGATTTACAAGTTCCTAAAACTTTTTGGCGACTCTTTTACTCTAGCTTCCTTCCCTTTGGACGCCACCATGCTTAAGTGTATGATCACAGTGGGGCTCAAGTGTGGGATTCTTAAAATCTTCCCTACAGGTGTCATTTACGTTTTCATTTTCATTACATTGACAAACAGTTTATTTGCAGATATGGGTAGAAACATGGTTTCCAAGGACAAGACCCTTAGGCGTTCCACAACACAAATTCGCAAGGATAAGGCGAAAAAATAAAAGGTTGAGATGGTTTCCGGGTTTATTTGGAATCCCTTGGGATACTAGTCACGCTTCTGCCGGGAACAAGACTCAAAAACCTGTAAAACACGAATATTCCGGTGACGGAATATTCGCCTCCGACGGTTAAGTTAATAACCTAAAATCAAAAAGGCTAGAGAGAGAAAGTAGAAAGTTGGAGCTATTTAATGCTCTATTTGTTATTATATCACAATCCACCCCTCCCATCATAAATGATTGGGGTATTTATAGGGGTAGGGAACTATGCCCTTTAGAGTTATTTCTTTAGAACGACGCGATTTTATTGGCGGTGCAATCAAGTAGCAACACGTGTCTAGGGGTTAGTGCTGTTTTGTGGCTTTCTCGGGAGTTGGGCCTCTTAATGTAAGGAGGCCCTTTTCACTCATTTCAGGTACTCTTCTTAAGCTTGACACACGTCATCTTCTCATAGGGACACGTTTTTCCCTTTGATTAGGCCACGTGTCACTACAGGATTAGACCATATGTTAGGGTATTTTGACCCTAAACATTTGCCCCTCAGAAGGGGGTGACTCGTACGCTACGGGCCGCCTCCTTTGATTTTCTACTCGGCTTAATGCGTCCGAGTATGTGGGAATAGAAATTATAGTGGAATAGGCGGATGAATCTGTTTGACCATTTAATGGATGAGCGCCTTGGGCTGAATAAAATATCATATCCATCTGTAATCCCTTTAATGGACGTGTGAGTCTAGGAATTAGGCGGATGGAACATGACACATGAATTTTTAGAGGAGAGCTTGGACGCCTGACTTCTTAGGATGGAAGTTTTAATTCTGTTTACGTGGCCGTCTATTTAGACGTGCCATTACCCGTCCAAATTAACAGAATCACGTTTTTAACTTTTTGAAATCTAGGTTAACTTTTTCAAAAAGTAACCGTTTGAATTCTTGGCTGGAAAGATGGATTTACCATTTTTCCCCCATAAATTTTGCCTATAAATAGAAGAGGTTTGACCTCATTTTGGCACTTTGGAACTTTAAGATTTTTAAAGAGAAGTCAGAGCTTTTAGAGAGAGAAAGTCACTTCTTCCCTGAATCTTCAAGAGCTTTACCGTACGATTGAATTTTTCGATCAAAGTTTGAGTTTTCCGGCCAAATTCCAAGACTTTTAAAGACTTCCAGAGTGTTAATTCGGATGATATACTACAAGAGGGGGGGTGAATTGTAGTATGTTCCTAGTGTCTACTTTTCACGGAATATAAAACTGATTGCTATTAGGAACTTAGACAATGCAAAGCGGATTTTACGAGGAAACCATCCAGGGCCCAACTGGAAGTAAAACCTCAACCCTACAAGGGATTTCAAGCCAAACCAATCCACTATAATAGGGCAAACACCAAGTTACAAACCTATTAAGTGACAGACCTTTACTCACAAGTTCCTGACTAAACTTGCTACACGATAAGACCCTATCTTACCCAATCTAAGTCCCAAACTTAGATTCACTCAGCACTCCCAAAGTGCCTACACTCGGCCTCTCACTAGAAGCTCATTCGGCTTCACCCTAGAAGCTCACACATTGCACTCTTACAATACAATATTATAAAAACGAGAATCCTCATGAACTCTCACACCCCAATACATAAAACACTCAAAACCCTTTTTCCCAATTACAAGATCTCAAAGAATAACTCTAAATACATACACTAGTACAAAAATGACCTAAGGTAACATCACATGGTATCACTTTGAAATCTAGAGATTGTACTAAGTTATAGGTAACACTATTGTAACACTTTAACATTAGGTAACACTTGATTGTAACACTTTAATATTAAGTAATACTTTATTGTAACACTTTGATATTAAGTAACACTATTGTAACACTTTGATACATAAGTATGCTCACTAACTGAAGGTATTATTTTAATTTTTTTTAGAAAAAGAAATGCCCTTTTTTCATTAGCTCCAAACTTATTATTGGCATTTCAATTCTTTCTAACTCACTCGCATTTCATTATTTTAGTCTCTCTTCGTACTGCATTCTCCACCACAGCCCCCTCCACCGCAACCGCCTCCTCACCAGTGCTCCACCATAGCTCTCCTCCACCAGAGCCCTCATCCACCGTAGACCTCGGCCTCCAACACGTACAACTCCTCGTTTTCCTCTCTTTCCCAATGAAGCGCACTCCATGTTCTCCTCTGAGGCGAACTCATCTGAAATCAATTGAGCCGAATTATGATATCAATTGAGGTGAATTCTCTCGGGTAAAGTTAATTCTCTATGCAATTATCGAATCTCAACTTCGCAATCTACGGTTTATTCTTAATTTAGTTGTAAGTATATTCAATTTAGTGTTCTTTTAAACTCAATTATTATAATAAACTATTGCTTATATTTAATTTCTATTGAAATATTGCCTGTAAACTTAATTTTTACTGCCCTATGTGTTGGAAATATGCATGTGATTACTGCTACTGTAGATTTCAAATTCCAAGAGGAAAAATTTTCTATTTTATTTGGATAAATTTTTCTGATTTCGATTATAAAATTTGTGTTTCCATGTAATTTGCAATTTGATAATTATCTTAAATAGATGATGGAATATTTACTAATTTGCAATCTCAATTGTTTTTAGTTATTTTTACCTTTGGCTATTATTGTTTAGATTTAATCTTTAAAATTATTAATCTAAAGTGTTCTAATTAATTGAGATAAATACCAAACCATCAGCAATTTGATGCAACTTGTTAGATGATGTGGTGTTCTGTTACTGGATTTGTTAGAGGAAGAATAATCAAGTAATTTGGGGAGTTTGTTATTTTTGTTATCACTATTAGTTTGTTATAAGTGAATTTTGTAACAAATAGAAGGGAGGGAAGGGTAGTAAGATCATTCAGAAAAGTTGTAAGTAGAAGTTTTGGGAGAGAATTCCTTCCTCTTAAAAGACGGAAATTGTGAACTGGTTGAATTCTGTTTCTGTTTTTTGGGTCTGATTTTATTCTCTTCAGCATTATGTGTTTGTACTTTTTGTCATGCATAATTAATCTAACCGGGGACTTAAGAGTTAAAAACACAGCTCAAATTAAATATCGAGTTATCCTTTAGTTTCACTGATGTTAAAAGGGGAGTTACGAGCTTTGCAGTTAAGATCCTTTAGTTATGAGCTTACGTACAACTCTATGTTGTCATTTGCTTTAATCATAGCTTCTCAGTGGTTTAGGATCTTTGATAAATATGATTTTGTTTATGTTGTTTATTTGTTTAATCATTAAAGTGCGATATTCTTCCCTGTTTAGTGTGATAGTTCTTCAGCCAGAAATGTGATAGTTCTTAAGCTAAAAATATAATCTCTTCAAATGCAGCCTGTGTAGTGCCAAAATAATGACCATGTCGTAGAAGACACCTATCAGCCGAGTATGGTGAGTTTTTGAGTCAAGGTATCATCTCTATAAATGAATAGGGAAATCCCGATGAATAATTTCAGACTTGCTTCAGAAGTCCTGAGGCAGGTTCTTTCTTCTCTTTGTCGGAATCATGGAGCTGCAATAGAAGAGAATTACAGACCATAAAAATTGAACTAAAAGCCATGATCCCACCTGATATAATTGAAAATAAAAAGAAGCAATCAGTAAGCTTTTATAGGCAGACAAATACTTGCTACTTCAAGCGTAGTTTGGGATGTCTTAGTATCAAATAATTGAGTATTAGCAAGATTAATTTACCTCAAACTCAGCTTTATAGGAAGACTATTAATAAGCTTCTATAGGCAGACTATTAATTGAGTATTAGTAAGCTTCAAGCGTAGTTTGGGATGTCTTGGTATCAAATTATTGAGTATTAGTAAGCTTCTATAGGGAGACTATCAATCTTGCTAATAGTCTGAGGTAAATTAATCTTGCTAATAGTCTGAATTCTGCATGTCCTAGCTCTTATGTGAAGTCAAGTGCTCAGGTACTCTTTTTGTGCTCAGTTGCTCAGGTGCTCGAATTTGTAGTCAGGTGAGATCTTTACTGCCTAACAAAGGTAATAAGCTCTTAAACCCGTATTCTAATCAGTGAAAGTGACCAGTAGAGGTCCTATGACATGCATGCATAATTCTACAGAACAAAGTCAATGCATAGATTTGTGACTTAAATGCATGCATCTGATCCATGTAGGGAGAAAACCTTGAATTTGAACTTAATGCCTGCAATATCTGTGAGCTAGTCATATATGAACTTTCCCTAGTAGGTATGTTTCCATTAGCGTTAAAACATGTTTAACATGGTGTATCAATTAAGCAAATATCAATTCTAGTTATTAATAATTCAACCCATGAATAATACAATGATTACTCTCACTTGATCATTTCCATTTTGTCATATTTACATAGGAATCGAACAACCCTTGACAGTAACACAAGACCAATCAGGTTGAAAATTGCTTACACAAATAATCAAACACTAATTCATCTATTAAATGGGATAATATTTGAAGCTATTAGTTATTCGAAAATAGCTAAATTAGCATGCCCTAATGGCTGTAGGAATCAGACTTATTATAGTGACTCTCCCAAATGATTTACTGATAAGAATTTATGCGTACATAGAATATGTAAAGGCTGTACGGTTCTTATTTTCATCATATTTTGAGATGAAGAAATACCAAAAATGTGTATCATATAATCTACCATGATAATTTTGTTTCTATATCTATTTTGCAAATTTTGATGTAAAAATGTGCCTATTTGACTAGTTACAGCCCCTCATGGATGTAATGCAAGTTTGTATGCATTGTTCCTCAATGGTGAATGAAAACTATAGTATTTTTCTGGCCACTTTTATAATCTGCCAACAGTGAAAATCGGACATAGTTTTGTTCTGGCCACTCTCTTTTGAGGTAAATCAGGAAGGTGGAATTAGAAATGTAAACTCTGAACATCAGACTAATAATCTGCTAGGGGTCTGATACTCTGAAAATATGTTTGTCATCAATAATGTTCGTCAACTGACTGTCTTGTGTGTTCTTTGTAGGAAGCAAGATCTAGATGGCAAAATATGAAAAACTTAGACAAGCAGGGATAGAACAAAATAGAAGCACAATGAAGGATTTGGGGGTTATATCCATGGCTTATGAAATGAAAGAGTCGATGAAGGGCTTGAAACAAACGAATAAGCACTAACTCTTATAATTGCGTTATTATATTTTTTTCTCTAGATGTTTTATATATGATGCTTTCACCTATGGAATTAAATGGATCAAGATGAAGAATTGGGATACAAGTGATGATGCTACAAGAAGCACTTACTATTACTGTTGTTTTGCTGCTGCTACTGCTGTTTTGATGTTGTTACTGCTATTTTTTTGCTGCTACCGCTGTCTGTTGTTGCCCCCTGCCACTGCTGTTTGCTGCCACATCTACCGCCGTTTTCTGCCACTACTGTCTGCTACTGATGTTTGCTGTCACATAATGTTGTGTGCTGGTCTGTTATAGCTGCTGCCGGTCTGCTAGCTAGCTGCTGCCGCTATTTGTTGTTATTATCGCTGACTGTTGTTTGAAATTTGGAAGTTTTTCTTATTTCCTCACTTTTCCAAGCTAGAGATCGAAGTTGATTTTCTTTTCGTTTGGATTATTATATTGTTTGGCCAAACATTAAATTTGGTGTTTATGAATTTTTTTTATAAAACTTATGAAATTATTTCAATCCAAATTGTTGTCCATCATATATGTTAATTTCGCATTCATAGTTTTTGTACATATTAATACTAATTTTATATTTTAAAAATAATAATAAAATAATAATTGTAATAATAATAATAAAATAATAATTGTAATAATAATAATAATAAGAAGAAGAATAATAATAATAATAATAAATATTATCTATTAATTAATAAGGTGTTACATTAGTTTGCAAAAAGTGATACATAATGTCGAAAAAAGTGCTACAATATGTTCAAAGATGATTGAAAAATGTTACCTAATAATCAATAAAGTGTTACATTAGTCCAGAGAAGTGATACATAATGTCGGATATAGTGATACTAGATGATTGAAAAATGTTATTAAAGATAAGTAAGTGTTACATAAGAAATAAAAGGTAACACTTTAAAAATGATACTAATAATATAATAAAGTGTTACATAAGAGAGTTTATAGTAACATTTTTAAAAGTGTTACCATAGGTTACCCAAAGTGTTACATAAGACCTTAGGTAACACGGGCGGTCGTATCACCCACTAAAGTGTTACCTATTGTCAATAATAACACTTTTACCACTTTATGTAACACTTTTTGGGTGTTACTTAAGGTTAGTTTTGTACTAGTGATACCAATGAATAAAGAGATAAAACTAATATGCTGGACACTTCAAGATCTGTCTAGAACTTACTGGACGAACTGTAACTGGAACCTGATTGGAACTTCGACCTGGAGGTTTGACTTAGCTTCGTGGTGAAGGATGAAACCATTAAGCACGACCACTGCACTTCGTCAACCTCGACTTTGAATGAATACATATGAGCATATTTATAGTACACCCAAATTATTCTTTTCGTAAAAGATAAGTTTTATTAAAAGATAGAAATAAAATATATTTTCCAAAAATAAGTTTTCCATAAATATATCTTTTGTTAAGAATATATTCAATCAATAATAATAAGATATATTTACCATAAAATTAGATTTTATCTAAATCTTATATTTTCCAAATATACTAATATATCTTACCATATCCTTTTACAAAAGATATAATTACCATAAAATTAGATTTTATTTAAAACTTATTTTGCTGAAAATATTTTCCAAAAATAACTTATCTTTTTCCACAAGGATTTATTAGAAAATAAATATCTTTATTCTGTAAAACCAAATCCTTAAAAGATATGCACGTGGTAGATAAATATTTATATCATTAAATTCGACCTGTGACCTTTAACGACGTGCAGACCTAAGTTCCGATTAGGTTTTGGAACTCTGATAGTCTCTGAGTTCCTGACAAGTCAGTAACTCTAATTTCATTGACTATCATGAGTTCACCTTGGTTCTTTAGACTTGTTCAAGACCGACTTTTATGTCCAACATACTTACATGAACCCTAGAGCGATATACTTCGATTTCTTTGTCTTCATGTTGTTTCTTTGAAAATCTTGTTCTGGAATCTTGTAGTATTGATGTATTCTAGTTCTCGGGGCAACGTTAAGTTCCTGTTAGGGAACTAAGTTCCCGTTAGGGAACTCTTCATGTACCGGTTGGGGAACATGGAACTCTTCATGTACCTGTTAGGGAACATGCTCCGGCTCTCGTGGGAAAGCCTGCCAAAGGTTCCTTCTGCATCTCATTAGAGAATATCTTCTGGTTCCTTCGTGGTTTGGTTCTTGTGGGAAAACCTGCTTTAGGTTCATTCATCCCCTCTTGTTCCTCTTGAAGTCTTCTATGTTCCAACCCATTGACTTCACCTAAGTCAGTTCCTGTCTTCACATAAACACTTAAGAGAAACATTAGATTGAAGTTTGTTTGTCATAACAAACTTCAAGTGAGAGAACTAATTAAACTTAAAGCTTATGTAAATACTCCTACACATATACAACTCATGTATGCATAGTGTACTTACCTTATGAAGCTAACATATGCAAACACCTATTTACATAGTTACCTTCATAGTTCCTTAGCCATCATCATGCTTATCAACCATAAAACTCATCATTGTTCTTGTTCTTCTATTGCTTATTATATATTGCTTAAGTTCCTTATATACATATTTGTCATTGCTCAGGTTCCTTGTATCCTGTTCCAAGTATCACTTGTTCTTTCTATGCACAACTTAACAAACACATTAGATAGATAATCATCATTAGTTTACAATCATCAAAACCTAATTACTCAACAATTTCCCCCTTTTTGATGATGACAAACTAATGATGCTTATCACACATTAAATGATAAATCGTTGTACATTTATTCCCCCTTAGTTCTTCAAGGAAATAACATTTAGAACAAGTTAGGAACATACACAGGAACTTCACATAGTTAGAAACTTAGCAATACACATCCTTATCAATATATATATATACTTTCAAAGATCATGTTGTAAGAACTTTAGACTTAACTACTACATACCATAAGCATCATACATATTCTTCCCCCTTTTGTCTTTATCAAAAAGGGTATTGTTCCACAAGTTTGTTTTCCGTAAATTACACACACATAAAGTCATATGTCACACCTACCACCATATAATAAGTAAATATATAATGGTTAAACACTTGTTGTTCCTAAAAGCCTCAAGGTACTCACTTTTCAAACTGGATACTATTTCCACACTAATTTCCAACTCACAATCCAAAGGCCCAACTTCAAAACCCTTAATTGAACTTGACAAATAAAAAGTTAAAAATCAAGTAAAGATCAAAGCTAAAAAGTAAGAAATGGATTGTATGAATAGGAAAATGAAAGCGCAAGCTCAAGGGATATATAAAGAAGCATATGGAACAAAACAAGTAGAGGGAACATGAAGTGGAATTTGTGCTCTTCGTTTAGACCTTTTGAGATGATAAGGTTTACCACATTTGTTCTTCATTTCATACTCTTGAACCTCCTACTAAACACAACACATATTCATCTTGCTAATTGATAACCAAGTTCCCTTACTTCAACTACCAACTGCTTTGAGAAACATTCTGCTTACTGGAACTTAAACAGATTTCAGCTTCATAGTCAAGTTCCTTCAACGTTTAATATTGCTCCTTCACTAGCTAGCTTACCAAGTATACGAGTACACGACATCAACATAGTCAATATTCTTCATATTTAGATATCTAGGAAATTAAATATTGGATCACCCTTATTCTTCTTCTTTTTTTATTTTTTTTTTTTATTTTATTATTTTTTTTTATTTTTTTTATTTTTTTTTAACATAGGGTGTCATTACACAGATTTCGCGTGCTTTCCTAGAATAACACATTTTAAATCAATGAAGATAATACTTACTCATACACTTGAGTTCCACAACCAGCTTTGAACCATTTTGATTTCTTGGTTCCTACCTTATTCCCCCTAAGTTCCTTACCATTCTTCTTCCTTTTCAAGTGCTTACTTCTTTTCTTTTTCTTCAACTTCCCCCTCAACATGTAATCACCATTCTCAAAGTTTCATTGATCCATAAAAAGATTATGAACAAACTTAGAGCACATGGGGATTAAGAATAAGAAGTATGGCTATATGAAAAGATAAGGAAATAGGGTCGATAGAATCTTCGAATATATGAAAATATGAAATAAGTATAGCGCAACACGGACACACAATTAAAAGTTGTAGAATAATGTTGCATTCGAAGAAATATGGTGTGGATGCTTGAAAGTTGGCTAAAAGATAGGTTAGTTCCCTCTGAAATTTAAACGGGTGAGATACAAACGGTCTGGGAACTTACCTGTCTTGTTTCATCAAAGTTTCTTCCATTGTTCCTTTGGCAACTTAGGAACTTGATGTTTAACAGCACCCATAGTTCTATTATGAGACATCTAATACTCTTAGGCAAGTGAGTATGTCTTTTACAACACAAGAACTAAGTGTGACACATAAATAATAAGCGCACATTCTTTACTTCAAGTTTAACATGCATAGGAACCCCAACTTGACATAACTTAAGGGAAAAATACTTTATACTCATGTTATGTTTCATCAAGTCTTGTTCCATTAAGCAATATACAAGAATATGACAAGTCAAGATAAAATCATAAGAGAATCCATTCACAAATTCACATATTGCATTCATACCAAAAATATATCAATTCAATTCATCTAATGCCGACATGTGAAAAGGAACTTATATGATGGCTTACCTTGGAGTTCTTGAAGTGGTTGTTTTGTTCCTTGATGATCTCAAATCTAATATGAACTTCCGCTTCTAACTCAAGTTCCATTATCAATGGTTAATGCTTACAAATATATTTTTCTCATCATAGAATCATCAAAAACCAATGCACAATGGCTCGTCAGTTGTACCAAAAATATAATCAATGTAAATAAGTACAACTAAAACCTTAGTCCAGAAAACAAAAATTGACAATTTTAAAGCTCAATTTTCAAGAAGGAACTTGGATAGCAATCTATCCTAGAGTATGTTCCACATAGACATCTATAACAGAAAGTTATACAAAAGACATCCATGACATCCATGTGGTACAACTCTAATCCCATATAAACAGCAAGATAAAATAATATTCAATTACCTTCAAGTCTAGCTATACGAGAAACAAGTTCCTGAAAAACAATACATACCTTTGTATTGGTTGTTTCCTATAAGAACCAACACGGCCTTGTTCCAATCACGTGCCTTATTCAACAAGCCTTTTCCCGAACACCCCTTTTAATCTCCGACCCTTTTAGGTGTTCTAGAATATGTTCATGATGTAACAAACACCTTCTTCCTTTTAAGCTCATTGAGTTCTTGTTACACATCTAACCTTCAAGCTCCATCCTCAAATGCTTCAATATCTTGAGGCTCGACCTTAGTTACATATGCATATAAGACACTGTAGCTCCATAGATTTTTTTTTTTTTTTTTTTTGAGATTTTGCTGGTAGGAACAAATATTATCTCAACTCTGGAACTTCGTCG